ACATGCACAGCATTAGCGCTGACAAATGTTGAAGCCAACGATAAGGCAAACTTCGCCAAGATTCTGGAGGCCATCAAGACCAACTACAATGACCGTCATGACGAAATCCGCAAGCACTGGGGTGGTGGTATTCTGGGATCCAAGAGTTTGGCTCGTATTGCTAAATTGGAGCGCGCCAAGGCACGTGAATTGGCACAAAAACAGGGCTAAACAAGTGAGGGTGCATCAGTTTATTGTAATGGGATTTTGTCGAACAGCAGGTTGTTTATGACAAACAGAAAATAAATAAAATAGTTTGTACTGAACTTCCATGAAGCAATTGTATTTTTAAGGAAAGTTATAAGTGAGTTTTCTTATTTGATATTATTTTCCTTAGTTTTGTTAAAAATATTTTTGGATTAACTAATTTAAAAAAACAAAATTGTAGGATATTCAATTGGGTCCATGACAAGGCGAATTTATACAAGGTGGCATGAACCAACTAACAATGAACTAATGCCTGGATTATAATGCACTTGACCGCAATGTAAACGGAAGCATCCAAAATCAATGTATCCTTACGAATTCGCCGCAATTTGTTACGATTCGCCCCAAGGCGAATTTATACAAGGTGGTATTGATGGCGAATTAAATTTTCGCCGCGGTACTACTGAATGTCAAAATCAAGGCGAATTTATACAAGGTGGTGTTGATGGCGAATTTAGATTTTCGCCGAGGTACGTCTTAATGTCAAAATGATGTGTTGGTTGTAAAATTAATTCGCCTTGTTTACAAAAAAACACATCATTTTGACATTCAGTAGTACCGCGGCGAAAATTTAATTCGCCAGCAACACCACCTTGTATAAATTCGCCTTGGCCCATACAATAGATAATTAATTTAAAGTTCGCTCCGTTCCGTTACTTCCATTATAATCCAGGCATTAATGGCGAAATTAGATTTTCGCCGCGGTACTTTCTAAAAGTAAAAAGTTCACAAAATGATGTGATTGTTGTAAACAAGGCGAATTGATATTACAACAAACACATCATTTTGACCAAGGCGAATTTATACAAGGTGGTGTTAGTGGCGAAATTTGACTACAACAGCACAACCACATGTATTTTGTATTGCGGGTGTTATGTCAAATCTCAATTCGCCCCAAAGTATACATGTATTTTGTTTTTGCTTTGATGGGTGGGCTGTCAAATCAGTAAAAGCAAAAACAAAATACATGTAAGGCGAAGAAATCAGCTGATCTTACAACGCCACCTTGTATAAATTCGCCTTGATTTTGATATTAAGAAGTACAGCGGCGAAAATCTAAATTCGCCAGTAGCACCACCTTGCATAAATTCGCCTTGGTAACACCATTTTAAAAAATTCGCCCTGGCAGCAACCGATTACAGTATTAAATCGTGCCATATTTATTTCGATAACATGCGTTTTTTTCATTGAAAAAATTGATTCTGTAACCGGTATTTGCACCTGCGAACGTATTTCGGATCCAATGCA